TGTAACGCAATAATATTAGGTACAATAAACAAATAATTAATTTTAAAAAATTATTATCATTTTAAAAAGTTCAAAATCCTGTAAAAGTAAGAGTAAACTACAAGTTCAATACTTCAATAATTATTTTTGTGTTTTTATCATTTAACTATTTTTTATTTCAAGATTATATCTAATATTTAGTTTTGATTTCATTTTGGTTATCTGCCATTAAAATTAACAGTGATGCTAACATGTCACCATAAAATAATATAACATCATCGTTGAAAATTAAAAAATATCATATCAACAGTTCTTTTAATTTTTTAATGTGAGTGACTAAAATAAAATCAAAACTAAATGTTAAGTATGATTTTAGAACAATAAATAATTGAGTGACTAAAATAAAATAAAAAGTAATAATTATGATAAATTTACTTTAAAATTAAACTTTTTTTCTTTTTTCCCCCTAGATATTTAGTGGATTAGTTCATCAAAATTGAGGATAGATCTATGAGCTCTACTAAGAAGCAACATTGCAAGGTGGGATTTGGATTGAAACCTTTTCAATAAATTTTTTAAAGGTATATGCTACATTTTAATTTCTATTTTTATAATAAGCTTAATCCACAATTATAAGTAGTACATAGTATGAAAGTGGATACTGGCAAAAGAAATAATGATATGAAATATCCATTATGAAGTATTTGATTCTTAATTCTTTGGTGGATTGTTTTTTTTTTTTTTTGGTACAATGGTGGATTGTGTTGCTGTCACATTTGTTTTTTTTAATTAATCATTGGTATCCGATTTATTGACCGACTAATTCAGATCGGATATTACAGAGGTGAGGGCGACCCTCCCAACCCATTTTGCTCCATTCGCAAACGTTATGATTTGAACCACTGACCTTGCTTAAGGGACCTAGTGCATCATCTCACTAGACCAATTGATTGTTTGTTGTCACATTAATTTTTTAATACATGAAATGAAAGCAATATTTCAGCCTTACTTTAATGGAGCTTTTGTCAAAAAGTGCTTTTTGTTTAGGTAGATTCTGCAAACCATGAAATAAAATTTAAAATTTTGTAGGAAGGTTTTGGATCAACTACAAACCATGAAATTTAGTTTGAATTTGACAACTGTATTTGATTTGCATACGTAGACCATTTCTTGCCTTGGTAATCTCTGGAAGATAACAAGAGTTAATTAGCTCTTCTATATATTATTATTATTATTATTATTATTATTTAGTCTATTTAAAATTGGGTAAATTACACAAATGGTCCTCCAACTATTAAAAGTTATAAAACAATCCTTCGACTATAGGGTATTGCTTTGTTGTCCCTCGATGATTAAAAGTTACAAAATGGTCACCCAACTATTTATTATGTTCCAAATTCGTCATTTTTCATTAAAAAATTGACGACAATTCGACCTAGATGTTAATCTATTGTCTGAAATATGATAGTTGTTTGAGATTTTGGGATCATATTTTACCATATCTCAGACAATAGATTAACGTTCAACTCAAACTGTCGTTAATTTTTTAACGTAAAATAAAATTTTTTGAAACATAATGAATAGTAGGGTGACCATTTTGTAACTTTTAATAATTGGTGAGTCAACAAAGCAACATCCTATAATTGAGAGACTATTTTGTAACTTTTGATAGTCTAAAGACTCAACAAAGCAACACCCTATAGTCGGGGACCATTTGTGTACTTTACCCTTTGAATTTTTATAGACTTTTTAATAATTTCTTTTCTTTCTTAATATTATGATTTTTTTAAATATTTCGTCTTTATTTATCTAATGAAAATAGCAGTTATTATTATTATTATTATTATTATAAATCTTTCTCTAAATTAGTCAATGACACATGTGTAAGAGACATTGTTTTACTCATGATTAACATAAGTGTTGAATTCGATGTCGGATAATTCGACGATTACTATAGTTAACAATACAGATGTTATATTAATATTTAAGTTAAATTATAATTAAAATTAAATAATAAAAATATATAAATTATAACATATATCAATTATAATATTAATTCAATTAAATTAATTTTATAATAATTTATGCTAAAAACATATTTTTTTCATTTTTTATTATTTTCTTTCTTCATAAATATTTTAATTTTGTAATATAAATTATATATTTTTATAAAACCAGCTATTTTAATTAATATTATAAATATTTTTAAAATATTTTTTTATTTTTTATTATATTAATATATTTTTATAAAATAAATATAATTAATTTTAATTATAATATAATGTAAATATTATTTTTATCAACAAAATAATAACTTAGCTGGGTGCCATTGCAAGGAATTGACGTCTTCTTCCCAACAGCTTAAGTTTGATACTGTAATGTAAGTTTTCAAATTTCAACGGTAAAATATAAATTTATTCAAACTTAGTGACCGTTGATTATATTTTACCCAAAGGAAATTAAATTTCAAACGGGTAAAGCTCAAAAATGATCCCGACTATAGGATGATGTTTTGTTAAGTCTTTCGACTTTTAAAAGTTATAAAATAGTCTCTCTGTGATAATATGTTGCTTTGTTGAGTAACTGAGCTATTAAAAGTTACAAAATGGTCACTTGACTTCTAAACTCGTCATTTTTCGTTAAAAAATTGACGGTAGTTTGAACTGAATGTTAACATGCTGTGTGATATACCTGGCAAATTTAACACATACCCGATTACTCAAACCGATTTAACCAAACCGAGACTCAAAATAGACCCGAACATGATGACCCAAATTTGATTCGAAACCTAAACAAACTGAATCGAATTGAAACCGACACAAATTTTAGCCAAACTGAAAGTAACCCAAACCGAAAGCAACCGAACTGAAAATAACCTGAATCGAAAGTAACATGAATTTAATTAATCTAAACTCGATATGAATCAAACATTGACTCGATTTTAACTTGATAATTAAGTTAAAATGTATAAAAAATACTAAAATAAGGTTTTCAATTTATTTAAATCAAATTATGAATATTAAAGAGTTAATTGCATCGTATCCTCAATCTATCACCCTTATTTAAAATTAGTCCCTAAGCTTTTAAGCATTTCAATTTCATCCATAACTATGACTATTATTCTAAATTAGTCCACAAACTTTTAAACATTTCATTTTCATCCCCAAGCTATGATCTTCATCCTAAATTGGTCCCCAAACTTTTTGAATATTTCAATTTTATCCTAAATTATTCGTATATACTAATCATCTCTTGTTAATAAAATCATTAGGCAAGTTAAACTATTATATGTTTGAAAAATATTAGGTTAAACTATGATTGAAATGGATTATTATATTTTACTTTGGAACTACTAAAATAACTTTCCAAAACTCACTACAACGAATTTCATCTTTAGTATATTAAAAAATATAGTTATTTAAATTTAATATAAAAATAACTTATTTTTATAATATAAAGATATCTATTCTTTTATAATTTAAAATTTAAATAATATCGATGATATAATAATAATAATATAATATCATTTATAAATATATTTAGAATAATATTTATTCAAACACGATATTTATAATTAAACGTTAAGTATATAATTTTAAATTTTAATAGATAATAAAATTTATAATTAAAAATTTTATTCTTTTAGTCAAATAGATCATATCATAAACTTTTCGGTCCAGATCAATAAAAAAATATCACAAACTCTAACATATCTTATAGGTCGAGTTTGAATTAAATTATAATCCGTAAATGATAAATGAATTTGAATAAAACTGAACACAAATGATAAGATTTAAAAAAAAAATATTTTTTTACAAAAATATATTAATAATTCTATATATACTTGATTTGACTTATATCCAACTTAACTTGAATTGACCTGAAGATCTAAAGTTGACCCAAACCGAAAATAATTGATCGAATATTGATCCGATCCGAAAATCAACCGATCTGATTTGATTCGACTCAAAATCAACCAATCTGATATTGACCTGATCTGATACCTGACCAACATGACTTACTATAGACCCGAGAAACCCGAAATGACCCGACCCAAATTAAGTATAAACTGAAATGACCCGAAGCAAAATGATCCGAACCGAACTCCATCCAAATGACTCGTTTGCCACCTCTACTGTGATATAATAAAATATGATGTTATAATCTCAAACGACTATCATATCTCAGTCATTATGTTGGCGTCCAACTTAGACAATCGTCATTTTGTAATATTTAATAGTTAAGGGACTCATTAAAGCAATACCCTGTAGTTAAAAGGATCATTTTGTAACTTTTAATAGTTGATGGACTTAATAAAGAAATATCCTATATTTGGGGGACCATTTTTGTAATTTACCCATTTCAAATTTAGTCATAACAAAAGTAGAAGTTAGTAAAAAGATCTGATCTGATATGTTTATCCGGTAATTCGATCCGAAAATTCGAATATCTAATTCATTTTTTAATTTTCGGATAATTCAGATAGGATATTCGAATTTTTTGGATAATCGGATCGGATAAATTTCAATTTCGGATTATCCGAAAAACCGAAAAAATTGGGCTTCTAGATTTTAGATACTTTTTAGTCCAATAAATTAGTAACCCATTAACCCATTAAAACTCTAACCCAATAAAAATTAAGATATTTAATAATTTATATTGTGTGAGTAATTATTTATATATATATATATAAATGTATCAAATAAGTTAGATTAAATCACAAAATTTGAAATTTAAAATTAATTTTTTGTCAAATTAAATTTTATATTCGAATTCGAATATCTAAAAAATCGAATATCTGATTCGAATAGGATATCTAAATTTTCGAATATCTAATTTTTAGATCTAATTAAATTCAATATCCGAATTTACACACCCCTAAACAATCCTAAAAATCATAATTTGATATTTTGCAAAAGTCACCCTTAAGTGTCACAATCACAAAAAAAATCCCTAAAAATTTAGTTTAAAAGTATATTATAAACTTTGCTTTTTGTATTTCCGGTTCTAATTTTTCATTTTTATTTTCATAAGAGTATACTAAACGTTTCGTTCGAGCAGTCCGAGTTGGATTTCCGCTTCAATCGCGAATCTTCTTTCCCTCCGGTGAGTCAACTCGTTCTCTTCATCCCTGATTCCAATTCACTAGTACTTTAGGCAGTGTCTCTGCCGAGTCGCTGCGGGTAGTAGTTAGATAGAGCTTGAACTTAAAATCGCGTCTTCGTTTTCGATTATTTTTACTCTTAGTTATTCTTTTCCATAAATTTTATTATTTTAGGGTTTTCAAGTGATTTAGCATTATGTTAATGGCGTTTTTGTTTTAGGGGTTTGAAGGAGTTCATATATGAAAATGGGGAATTTTTGAAAATATGGGGGTTTTTACGAGTTTTTTTTTCTTTTACTGCTTTTAGAAGTGGAAATTGTTACAAATTTGATTACTTTTTTTATCAGGGAATTTCTAGTTCAAAATGATAATTAACCTAGTATCAGTTAGTTGCAGCCACCTGTTTGTGTTTATATTATCGTTTGTTTTTTGGTTGGTTGATATGCTCTCTGTGATTTATTCTTAGTTAGGAATTTGTTATCGCTAAGCTGTATTAGTATGAAGCAAATTTTTAGTTAGAAAAAATATTAGGATTTGATTAAAAAAATTCCAAACATAAATGTAGAAGTTTTTAGTTCTGGTTTCTTGGGTCATCCTTTCGTTCTCACAGAATTTGTTGTTTTTAATGTGTTCTTTGACATGGACACCTTAGGCCGAAACCACTTTCTAGTAATTTTGAGGTTAGTCTAGGAAAATTATGGAAACTACTTGCAAGTAATCACGAATGCTTGCTATCTCTGCTTCCTTCTTGTTGTATGCCGAGAGTGTGTGATTTTCTTGGTTCATTGATCTGTCCCTTGCTTGGCTTGCTTATATGTTTAGTTTACATATTCGTGGCTGCTGCTTTGGAGGGTTATTCTCTTTCTTGATGCAACTTGAATAAAGATGGAGGAAAAGCTCAACGAAGTTGAAGATGTTGACAGAGCTTCTAGTGATTCTTTTTTTGTTGATTCAAATGATGATGAACCGTCAACATCTGGACAAGATGATAGGCTACGCTTTGAGGTCAGTCAATATTGATGTTTCTTATCATTATATTATTGCTATCTTTTTTATGGATTCTAAGAACTTTCCATCTTCCTTATTGTTGCTTTTTATACCTTCTGTGTTTCTAATGCTTGCATTTGTTTGCACTTATGCACACTTTTCCTATTGAATTTGTAGGAGCCTTTGACTGAGAAGGAAATAGAAGAGCTGGTATCTGAGTTTTTGGAGGTTGAGAGCAGGGTACTATGTTTATTCAGACAATTTTGATGCTTTCTTTTTCTTTATTATGTTGGAATGTTTTCTCACACTCATCTCAGGCTGCAGAGGCGCAAGAAACACTTGAGAAGGAATCTCTTGCTAAAGTGGAGAGTGAAGTGAGAGAGGAGCTGACACAAAGTCTTCAAGGGGATGATGTTTGTAAACTCTCTTGTTTCTATCTCATCAAAATTCTGTTGTCCTTTCCTACCTCTGATTCTTTTTACTTTGTTCATAGTTGGAGACAGCTGTTGCAGATGAAATGGCTACTTTTATAGAGCAATGGGAAGGTGTGCTAGATGAGCTTGAGACAGAGAGTGCACAATTGTTGGTCAGCTTTTTTCTCATGTCTTTATTAAACCTTTGCTTCCTAATACATATATTGTTGCATGAATGAGTACTATTAGCATTCATAAAATTAATTTTCTGTAGCAAACTAACATTTGAACATAATCTGACTTTATCCTTTAAAATTTGTGTTGTGCTCTATTGGCCAACCTTGAGGGATGTTTGGGTCATGAATGTATTTTTAATTTGTTTATTCTTACTCTTTGCCTCCCCCCTTCCTGGCTGAGGTGAAAAGAGAAGAAAATGTTGTTGGCTACCCTAGAAGCCTTGATTTCATTTGGCTGCAATATTCTGTTTCAATTTGTTTTTCTGACCATGCTTTATTCCCAACCAAACATCAGTACCTAATTTAATTAATAATTGTATTTCGATATGTCATTTTAACTTTTTGAATCATATGATCATCTACCAAAATTTGTTTAGTGTCAATTGCAGTGTCTTATGCCGCTGCCCCTCTTCCCCTTTTTCACCTTCTAGAAAGTATGATTATTCTTGACATCTCTATTCTGAACAGGAACAACTTGACGGGGCTGGTATTGAGTTACCCAGCCTTTATAAGTGGATTGAGAGTCAAGCTCCAAATGGTTGCTGCACTGAAGCTTGGAAAAGTAGAGCGCATTGGGTAGGATCTCAGGTGACTAGTGAAGCTGCTGAGTCTTTAGCTGATGCTGAAAAGCATCTTCAAACCCAGAGGCCTGTAAGGAGGTATGGCATACGCCCTTAGGATTCTGAATTTCGAGTAGAAATAGACCAGTTGAATTTGACCATACTGTTTTCGAGTGTTGCTAAATGTATCATACAATGTAGATGAATATTACCCTTGTCCATGTGAAACATTTTAACATTTGAATCCTTGGCCTTTATTTTTTTTCATCTTAATTGTTGAATCATACCGAAAAAGAGGAGAAAAATATGATAGTAATAGTTAATAGGCCACCATTTTGTGAAACATTACCTTTGTATATGTAGTTAATTAGCCACAAGTAACTACTGCTCAGCCTAAGGCCTTGACATGAATCCAAGGGCTTAGTTACAAGTTTGGGTGGTATCTTGACATGTCTAATTCTAGAACTAAAACCAAGTGTTTGTGCTTTAAAAGTTCATCCACACAACCAGGTTTTAGCAATAAATTTGGTCTCCTTAGCTTCAGTTGATATGTGGATCTATGTTTTTGATTCAGGAAACATGGTAGACTATTGGAGGAGGGTGCTAGTGGATTTCTGCAAAAGAAGCTTTCCAATGATGCTAGCCAAGAGGCACCAACAGGAAAATCGGACATAGAATGGAACTCATTCATGAAAATATGTTCTAATGGTTTAACTGAGGATGACAATGGCTTTGGCAGCAAGAACTGGGCTTCTGTCTACTTGGCTAGCACCCCGCAACAAGCTGCACTAATGGGACTTAAATTTCCTGGATTTGATGAGGTGAGGAATTCCTTTTTTTTTTTGCATAAGCTAGGACTAAATCCTTTTAGAAATTTCATTTTCCTATTATCAAAATGGTTTTTCAAGTTCTTGAAATTCCTTTTGTTTCCTCGGGTACGGTTGAAGAACTAGGGAGTATTGAAGAAGGGAATTGGACCTTGGACCACAACCTTGAATAATTTCTTTCCTAAAGTTACCACAAGCAATTTGTTTTTTATTCATTTCATGCTGAGATTGATGCTGAAAAGCATTTTGGATTTAATTGAACATTTGGCTCCATAGTTGTTGAATCTGCCTTTTGACCTAGAGCTGGATTTAAACCCTTTCATTCCCCAATGTATAAAAGAACAAAATCTTTATGGGGCCTGTTAATGGAGAGAAAAATGGGATTAATTTATCAAGCCCTAAACAACCTGTTTACCTCCTTTATCCTTTGTACCAAAAATAATCTAATGACATGTCTTGACTCCTTATCTATTATACCTGCTCTAGGACATTCTTCTTCTTGGGTTACCAATGAATTTGGCAATCAATTTTATTTTATCTTGTCTTGTTTTTCATTCATTGATATAATTTTTGTCAAAAGTTATATTTCTTCTTAAAGAAAATATGTTATGATGATTTACCTTTTCAGTGCTTAAAATTTCCCTTTTTATGATAGAACAAGAAAAAATTTTAGAAAGGTTTGTCAGTGTTGTTTGATGCAATTATTCTTCGTTCCCACTTCCCAGACTTTTACTCATGTTAATGTATATTTAGTTTCTTATATATCCATCTATTGATGTTTTTAATAGCAGTTCCTTGCATTTATCACCATCACCGGAATCAATCTTTCCAACAATATTCTGTCATGTTTTACAGTTGATACATTCATTGATCTTTTTGTTCATCTTAGTAGTGACTACTGATAGAATTTGTTCAATGTCATGGGTGATGTCAGAGAACAAAGGAAAACTTGGAAAAAAAATAAAGGGAAAGAAAAGATTGAATTGTTTTCTTATTTCCAATCTATCGAAATAGGGTTCATAACCCTTTATTTTATACGCTTAGTTATCAACTCTTAATAGAAGACTTACTGTAGATAAAACCCTTATCTAAAAATAACTAGGACTCTTACGAATAAAAGACTTCCAAAAAATAGTAGATACGTTAATTAAAAACAATGAAGTTTAAACAATAGTACTCTTAACTCTAAACATAATTTGACACTCCCCCTTAAGGTGGTGAATGAATATCCACTATTCCCAGCTTGCTAAGAATATCATAAAACGTTTTACTTGATAGTCCTTTTGTGAGTATATCTGCTAACTGGTCTTCCATTGAAACGAATGCAGTGCAAATTCGTCCACTATCTGATTTATCCTTAATTAAATGCTTATCAACTTCAATATGCTTTGTTTGATAATGTTGAACATGATTATGAGCAATATTGGGCCAAGCTTAGGTTTTAAGTGTGGTTAGTCCTATTTGAGGCTGTTGTTCTAGCTAAGGTGGATTAGGCAGAGTTTTTGCTGTTTTTTAGGTTTATTTTCGAATGTTTCTGGTGTTCTGTTTATGTTGGGGGTGGATTTCTGGTTGTACCTGTTAATTTCTTATGTTCAATGAAATCCCAAGTCACTCTTTTCCTCCTTCCAATGATTAAGGAGTTTGTCTTTAAAACTCCTTTAATCAAGAAGGGGTTTTTTAACGAGGCCTTCAATTCATATAAAAAAAAAATTATGAGCAATATTGATAGCTGATTTATTGTCACAGGAGAGGTTCATGAGCCCTTCTCTCTTAATTCTCGAGTCATCTAGTATTATCTTCACCCAGAGTAACTCGCATCCTTCCAATGCCATTAATTTGAATTCTTCTCAACACTTGATCTTGCCACCACTTTCTGCTATTAACTTCTCCATGTTATAAGATTTCCTCCTAGAAGCGTAAAATATCTAGATATTGACTTTCGGCCGACTTGAGATCCATTCCTGCATAATATGCATCGGTTTAAGCTTCTAATGTTAAATATGTGTTTGCTTGACGTTTAAACAAAAATTTGACATTGTGATCGAAAGGATATGATTGAAATTATCTTTGGCATTGTGTGATTGAAATCTGTTAATTTTGACACCAAATTGAGTATTGACCCTGTTGTAAAAGATAGAAAAAATATGAAAAATGGGGGAGAGAGAGAGAGCGAGAGCGTCAGAGAAATCAAAAAGTCAGTCCCCCTCCATTGAGGTTTGGACAATGTTCGTGGATAACCCGAGTCGGAGAGTGTCAAGGTGGGCATTGAGGGAGTTGTTTCAGTATCATGGGTCGGTCAACAGAGTATTCATCCTGAACGTTCTGAATAAACCAAAATACAGAGCCCATACGTTTGCATTTGTTCAGTTCGTTAATGAGAAGAGCATGGTGAATGCAATCGAGAAAGTTAATGGTTCGGTAATAGATGGGAGGAAAGTAATAGTGGGGTAGCGAAGTATCAGAATTCGCGTAGAGGATCAATAGCAACAGGCAGGGTTCGGACATGAATGGAACAATCTTTAGATAAGGGAAGAGGGAAGAACAGGGTAGGAGTTGAGACGTTGAGCAGTGTAAGGGATGATAGGTCTTACAAAGATGTACTGATTTAGAACAAGAGCTTAAGGGAAGATTAGAAGTCGAGGGAGAACAGAGGGGGGCTTCAAAAGTAGGAACAAGAAGGAAGAACTTATTTGAGATACATTTTCCTACGAAAGAGACGGAGTGAAGTGTTCATTGACGGGAAACATTAAGGATTCGTTTGAGTTGGAACTGGCTCAAAAGACCTTGCGTAGTGATGGTATTGAAGTGAAGTTGGTAAGTTGGGGTTATGCTTGGAATTCTTGCGTTGTAATCTTCCTGTCGGTTGAAGCTTTATCAGAGATATGGAGCAGCAAGAAGGAATAACTGTCCTTCTGGTTTGATTGGGTGGCACCGCTCCTTGATGATAATGGGATTCCAATGGCGTATTGCTGGGTTGATTTGTATGGAATTCATTTTCTATGTTGGCAGGAATCCTTCTTGCAGAGGTTAGCTGAAAGATGGGGTACGCTGGTTGATATCCCGGAGGCAACAAGGAACATGGAGGATCTGTTGATAGCAAAACTGTTGATTAGAGTGGCAAGCCCATTTGATGTTCCAAAGGTGATCACATTAGGAGCTTATGGAAGATCCTTCAAAGTCAGAACCAGAATTGGGTCGGTTTTTCAGAAACAGGTCTATCTTCGGGAAAAAGAACAGTTTGGTTTTTCAGAGGATCGCTGGTCAGAGGAGTCGTTGTCGGAGAACCTTGAAGATGGAAGACAAACAGTGATGGCTGAGGGAGATGGTGATTCGATTGATGAGTCCCGAGATAGGGTTGTAACGTGGCTGGAAGATGGGAGGACAGCTGGCGTCTTGGTGGATTGCAGGAGACAATTCATTATTGTCGGACAAGGATTACGAGGGTATTAATGGTGGGGGTTAGACTGTATTGAACATACGCAAGGTGTAATAAGTGAGTATGCGGGCCTTGGGTTAAGGGAAAATGTGGGCCTAGCTGGTAATAAGAAGGATCAATTAGAAGAAATGAGTGAACCAAGGTCGCATGATTCCAGAATTATTCTTGTAGGGCCAACAATTCAATTAACTTTTAGAGAGTCTAGAAACGTGGTTGGAGTTTTGGAACAAATCCCAGCGGCAGTTGTGGGGGATGGGCCTGGCAGAATTGAGGAGATTGATTTACTCCTAGAAGTGGAGAAGTAGATGGCCTAAAAGTAAATAACAGGTGTAATTTTTCGGCAACCTGTAAAACTTCGACAAGAAATGAAGAGGTCGAAAGGGGTAAGAGGAGAGTCTTTGAAAGAGTTTACAGCAGGTCAGAGGGGAAAAAACAGGTGCAGGTCAGAATCGGGAGTCATTTGGGCGAGGTGTCAAAAAGTGAATGAGGAATTAAATGCCACATGGAAGGTGAGTAATATGTTCGGTATAACTTTTCGTGGTGGGAAGAATGCCTTTGCAAGGAAATTTGAAGAGGCGGGTATTAGCGAGGTGGGGGGAGGTGTGAATTGAGCCACATCGCTGTAGGAGGTAGTCGAATCTTTTTTATATGTTAAATTTTCATGCATTTCTTGGAATATTAGTGGTTTGGGAAGGAAAGAGAAGGTGAGGGCGGTAAGGAGCTTGATTTTAAGGAAGAAACCAGTTATTGTGTTCCTGCAGGAGACAAAATTAGAGGTAGTAAATCAGGCTTTATTAAGGAAGCTTGGTGGGAGGAAGTTGAAAGGGTTGGTTTCATCCCCTTCGAAAAGGGTAGCGAGGGGATTAATTAGCATTTGTGATGAAAATTGGTTCGAAATCGAACATCACTTTATTTTCAGTTGGTTCATAGCAATTAAGGGTAAAATAAAGGATAATGGTGAGGTATGTTGTTTAGTCAACATATATGGCCCGATAGTTGAATTAGAAAAGGATAATTTTTTTCGAGGAACTGCCAACTTTCTTAGATCAAATGGATTGTCCATTATGTGTGGGGGGATTTCAATGCATATTTGTCCCCGAAGGAGAACCTTGGGAAAGCTCAGAATGTTCATTCAATGAGAGTGTTGGAAAATTTTGTTTTTCAAGCTAAGCTTACAGATTTGCCAGCTTCTGGTGGGAACTTTACGTGGTGCAGTAACAGGGAGTCCCCCGCCTTTGTCAGACTTGATCGGTTCCTAGTGGATTATAGGTTTTTGAGTATTTATCCGGATGTGGTCCAGACTATTCTCCCAAAATCATTATCGGATCATAATGCAATTCTACTTGAAAAGGGTGTGGCAAATTGGGGTCCGAAACCGTTTAGATTTTTTTAATTATCTTATGGAAGAACAGGGTTTTCAGGAATCAACGTAGCATTTGTTCTTCACCTGTTCTGTATCATGGGAGTTGTGGTGCAGGTTTTTGCGCCTTTGGAATGTTCATTCCCCTTTGCATTTTGCTCCAGATTTTTTTCTGCACGCTTGGTGGGGGTTGGTTGCGAAATCAGAAATCTGGAAATTTATTCCTGGTGCTGTTATGTGGTCTATTTGGAAATACAGGAACAAGTTAGTGTTTAAGGGGGTCTAAGGACCATATTAATCTTTTTTTCGAAAATAGATACAGATTGGTGGCCTGGTTCTCTGCTAAACACACAGGTTTCTCAATGCTTTTCGATTGTTTAATGGGGAATCCATCTATTGCGGATATGCGGGGCAGACAGGGGAGTAAGGTGTTATCTCGGACTGTTTGGGTTCTGCCTCCTTCAGGTTTCTTTAAATTGAACGTGGATGGTGCTGTCACTGGTGATTGTTTGAAAGGGGGCATTGGAGGCACTATTAAAGATTCAGGGGGTTTTCTGTTGGGTTCTTTCTCAGAGGCAATTGGACAGGGGCCCCTTACAGTTGCTGAAATGTTGGCAATTAAAAGGGGCTTGAACCTTTTTATTGATTCTCAATGGGGTTGTAAAGGGAGATTAATTGTAGAGTGTGATTGCCTAGTTGTGGTTAAGTGAATAAAGAACTTGGGTGGTTGTATTAATTCTGAGTGTTCGTTGTTGAATGAGATTACTAAGGATGTGAAGATTAGGCATATTTCCAGAGGGGCTAATTGGGAGGCTAATAAGTTGGCAAAAGAGGGAATTGGCTGAGTGGGGCTGTGTGTAGGCAAGTTGTGTTAGTTTCAAGAGGTTTTGTAATGTTGTGTTTCGTTGTAGTTAGGTGTTTTCTGTTTCCTATGTTGTATTAGTATAGTTGTTCAATAATATTTTGAGGTACTTTTTTCCTCCTTCCAATGCCATACGAAATAGCCATGAAGGGGTTTTTTAATGAGGTCTCCCTTTATAAAAAAAAGGATGCATATAACAGAAATCCTACTGTTGAAGTGGAAATAGTGGATTGCAAGATTATCGGAAGCGCATAGCTTGATGTTGGAAAGGTCCTTTTAGGAGGAGGAAATTTTGGAAGCAATTGCTTCCTCGGATAACAACAAGGCACCGGGACCAGATGGGTTAAATTTGGGTTTTTTTAAAAGGTTCTGGCCGGTTTTGAAGGATGAAATACTAAAGTTTTTCTCGGATTTTTATTCAGGGAAGAGATTGGAGAAAAGGTCGATCATTCCTTTATAACGTTGATTCCCAAAAAATTGAACCCAGAGTGTTTAGATGACTATCAACCCATTAGTTTAGTAGGTGGTCTCTACAAAATTCTGTCGAAGGTCCTTTCGAGAAGACTCAGGTCTTGCATAGACTCTGATATCGGCCCGGCTCAATTTCCATTTGTACCAGGGAGGCAGATTCTGGACTGCTCATTTGTAGCAAAATGAAGGGATCGATTTTTGGAGAAGAAAAGGTTTGAGAGGTGTAGCCTTTAAAGTGGACTTTATGAGAGCTTATGACTAAACAGATTGGTCGATCTTGATGCGGTTTATGGAATATATGGGGTTTGGGCAGCGGTGGCGTTCTTGGATCCATAAGTGTTTATCTTCAGCTTCAATGTCCGTCTTGATTAATGGCTCCTTGACTGAAAAATTTAAGATGTCAAGGGGGTTACGACAAGGGTGTTCGTTATCACCTTTGTTGTTTAACCTTGTGGGTGAAATGCTAAGTTTGATGCTGTCCAAGGGGGTGAAGATGAGTCTTTTCAGTGGGGTTCAGATAGGAAGCACAGATACGGCTTTTTCGTTGTCTCATTTGCAGTTCGCCGATGATCTGTTAATTTTTTGTGGTGCATCAGAAGGGCAATTGAAGAATGTGAAGAGAGTTTTGGCTATATTTGAATTGTGTCCGGGGCTTAAACTAAATTTGTCAAAGAGCATAAATTTTGGGATTAATGTGGAGGATTCTTGTATCAAAGTGTGGGCAGATTGGATTGGGTGCTCGGTTGGAAACTTCCCAACAGAGTACCTTGGTCTTCCTCTAGGTGCACCGAAAAACTCGGTTTCGTTTTGGGAACCAATAATTCAGAGATGTCAAAAGAAATTGATGGGTTGGAAAGTGAATGCTCTTTCTTTGGCAGGGAGGGTTGTGTTGGTAAAGTCGGTCGTAAGCGCATTGGCAATTTATTTTATGTCGTCGTTCAGAATGCCTAATAAGATCCTGAAGAAACTAAATTCCATTATGGCAAACTTTTTATGGGTGGCTCTTCTCAAAAGAACAGGATTCATTTGGTGAACTGGCAGACTGTGTGTAAATCCAAAGGTCAAGGGGGTCTGGGTATTATTGATCTAAATTCTATGAATAGGGCTCTCTTGAGGAAATGGGCATGGAAATTTGCAACGGAAAAAGAGTCCTGGTGGAAGAAAGTGGTTTGTTGAAAATATAATTTGGATAACACATTTAATTTGATGGATAATGGGGTCTCCTATAAGTCATCTTGGATTTGGAGAGGAGTGGTTTATAATTGTGGGACAAATGATGCATTTGGCCAATGTTTCAGGAATCATGTTCTTTTAAGAGATGGAAAAGGGAATGCTTTGTTATTTTGGTCTGATAGGTGGATTTGCAATGTTTCGCTTAGAATGAAATTTCCGAGATTGTTCTCTCAATCCGTGAATAAGGAAGGGAAAATATCCGAGTTTGGTTTTTATAATAACGGGGTTTGGTGTTGGAACATACAATTTCGAAGAAATTTATTGGATTGGTAGGTAGAGCAGTGGATGGAACTAACATCGGTACTAGGTAATGCTAGTATTCGGGTTGATGCAGATGATCAATGTGTTTGGACGGGAAATGGGGAAGGCATCTATTCGGTTAATTCATGTGTTATGTTACTGACAGAAGGGGTTGCTGAAGATCCGATATGGTCGAAACTGGTTTGGACTAATTTTGTTACTCCAAGAGTGGAGGCGTTTATGTGGCAGGTCGTGCATCAAAAAGTGGCGGTCAAATCGAAACTTATAAAGCGTGGTGTTAGTGGGATAGAGAACGATATGCCCATTATGTGGTGTGCATCAAGAGACGGTATCTCATCTATTCTTTTCTTGCTCGATTGCATGGGGTCATTGGGGGTGTTTCTTAAGATTGTGGAATTTATCTTCGGTCCTTTCAGAGCATCCCAACGTCTTTTTATCGTCTTGGGAAAGTCTTGCTTCAAAGTCTATAATCTGGAATTTTATTCCGGGAGCCGTTTTATGGTCTGTTTGGAAGTGCAGGAACAAGTTGATTTTCGAGAGGGGAATATGTGAATTTAATCATTTGTTCTTTTTATCGAGATACAAAGTGGCAGAGTGGTTTTCGGCGAAATATCCTAATTGTCCAATCCTCTTTGATTGCCTAGTTGGTGACTCAAAGCTGGCTGATTCTTTTAACCCGTCCATGAAAACTAATCCATCACCAGCCTTGTGGAGTCCCCCTCCCATGGGTTTCTTCAAAGTTAATATGGATGGGGCAGTTCAAAGAGATTAGGAAAGCAGTGGTATTGGGGGTTTACTACGAGATGTAGAGGGCAAAGTTTTGGGCTCCTTCTCGGCTTCAGTTGGTTTTGGCCCCCTGGTTTTAGCTGAATTGAAGGCCATCCAAGCTTGTTTAGCTTTGTTTGAGGCTTCAGAGTGGCGTGGCAAGGGCATGCTAATTGTTGAGTCCGATTCGGCGAATGCAGTTAATTCGATTAAGAACCCATTATTGTGTCCTTCAGTGTTCACATCTAGTAAAGGATATTGTTATTGTTGTTATTAAGAATAGTGTCATCTTAAGGTTTGTCAAAAGGTCCGTGAATTGGGAGGCTGACAGCTTGGCTAAGGCAGGGATAGGGTAGTTTTTCAGGACAGTGGGGAGTTACAGAGGTGAGTTTTGAGTGTGGGGGTGGTGGTTGTAATAGCCGACTGTTGTGTGTAATGTACTCTTTTCTGGAATGACATTTGAGGCACTCTTTTCCTCCTTCCAATGTCCGTTGATGTACTTTTGTACATCAATGGTTATGAAGAGGGTTTTTAATGAGGTCTCGCTATTTATCAAAAAAAAAAAAAAGATAGAAAAAATAATGCTAAAATCAGATTTATTTTTAAGGAGGTAAATCCATGTCACCCGGGTACAATCATCTATAAAGGAAACAATCCACCAAGAACAGAAACATTGGAAATGGTAGAGGGCCCCGAAATATCACTATGTATGCGGTAAAAAGGAACAAAATTTTCTTATTGCTTATTGGAAAGGAAGAACGTTTATGTTTGGCGAGTTCACAATCATTACAATGAAAAGATTCAAGGGAAAGGCCTTTAAAGAAGGAAGGAAATATCAACTTGAGAACTCTAAAGGATGGATGACCTAAACGATGATGATAAAGCTTAATTTTATTTTTCGTTTGAATTGATTGACTCGGAAAACAATGATATAGATATGGGAATTTCACCTCCTGTTCGATTGTTCTTTTGGTCCAGGAAGTAAAGATCATCTCTCTAACTTGTACATCCAATCGTCATCTTCGTGTCTAGTGCCTGAAAAACATATTGTGGAAGGGAAATAGGTTGAATTATAATTTGAATATGTGGTTAATTTGTGAACGGAAGTTGGGTTTGCCAGTAATTCGGGAACATGGAGAACATCCCATCAGTTATCTTTTTTTTATGTAAATGTCTCTTTGGCAAACTACTGTGATGATGGATCTGTCAGTTATTGTGATCATATTATGGCTCCGGTTTGGAGAATAAGAGAGAAAATGTTTGGATTAACAAGTCATATGGTCAGTAGCTCCGGAATCTATCACCCTCACGGATGGAGAAATCTTTCTGAGATATCAGAAGAAATACCTGAAAACATCAATGCACAGTTACCTGTCGAAGTGGGCTTCTCAAATGTTCCCAGCGAAGTTTTCAGTTTTTTAATCTCCTCGATGGTAAATGCAGGAGCAGAATTCGTTTCTGTACTGGTCATCTTAAGTGCCTGGCTGCAATCATGCAGACTTGGATTGGATTTGTCAGTAGGCCTGCCATGAAGTTTCCGGCACTTCTCCCTGGTGTGACAATGCTTCGTGCAGTACGTGTAGAACAGAAGAATCTCGGCTGAATGTGTTGGTGGAGACCCCTCGAGTAACCATAATTTCAGCGGAACTGGTGGGTGTTTCCGTCATTATGAAGGGAAATAAAAAAAAAATCAGAGTTTGATCAGGAAAGAACCAAATCTGATACCATGTCAGAGAACAGAGAAAAACTTGGAAAAAAGTTCAGCAAAAGAAAAGATGGACCTATTCTCTTTTTTCTACTCTATTGAAATAGGGTTCATAACCCTTTATTTTATACACTTAGTTATTAACTCTTAAAAGAAAACTTACTGTAGATCCCTTATCTAAAGATAATTAGGATTCCTAAGAGACTTCCTGAAAACAGTAAACTGTAAACAATAGGACTCTAAGCATAATCCGACAGGCGAATATAGTGTAATATATGACCATATGTTATCTTATATGGTCCATAGTGTAATATATAACCATTTGCTATCTTGTACGATATTCTGCTTGTCAATATTTTAACTCCTACAGCTCATCTATCCTTGCATTAACTTCTAATATGTATTGACAGGTCAAAGAGGAAGATGATGTAAATATTGACAGGAAGTTTCAGCTGCATTTGAAACAGAAGAGACATCGAAGGAGATCAAAACAGGTTTTACAGTTAATTACATTTTATTTTCTTTTTGTGTTACCCTAGATTAATTGAAGAATATTACTGTATATATATTGTGTATATGAGGACATCTTGTTGACTTAACATAATGTAACTTTCCTGCATTAAGGCTGAAATTTAAGTTCCCTTTGAAATAGCTTTTAATAAGTTTAAAAGCAATCGAGCGTAATGTCGTAGCAACATATAAGAGTGTTTAGTGAATTGACTTACCCATACATAGGACAAATCTAGTGAGCCGGGCTCAAGAAATTTTCAGGTGTTGCTGTTACAGTTATACTTGAAAAAGCTGAAGTCCATTGGGGTTAGATCTTGTTATTCTTGAAGTAGTGATAGTGGTTTGAATGAGACTACCAAGTTGCCTTTTCCTGGTGTCAAGAAAACATGGATTTTCAGTTTTGCTTGTCAGATCAGTTTGTAAAGTGCTTTCGAAAAGGCTTGTTTCAGTTATTAAAGGCATAGTAAGCCCTTCGCAGTTTGCTTTTATTCCGGGTAGACAATTGCTTGACTGTTCTCTTTCGGCAAATGAAGGCATAGACTATTGGAGGAAACAAGGGAGGTATGGAGTTGTATTCAAAGTTGATTTCCGTAGGGCTTATGATTCGGTTGAATGGCCAATCTTACTGAGATTAATGAAGGTTATGGGTTTTGGGGAAATATGGATTTCATGGATTGAATATTGTATTTCTTTAGCCTCAATCTCGGTGTTGGTAAATGGATCTCCAACTGAGGAATTCCACATTAGTAAAGGGTTGAGACAAGGTTGCAGTATGTACCCTCTCCTGTTTAATATAGTTGGGGAACTTTTAAACTTAATGTTGATCAAGGCTGCTGATCTAGGCCTTTTCCAAGGGTTCATCATTGGTAGGGTTGAAAATCACTTCCATTTGACACATTTACAGTTTGCAGATAATCTTATCCTATTCTGCAGAGATTCTCCAATGCAGATCTTAATTATTAGGAGAGTTTTGAGGGTTTTCAGTGTAATGTCAGGGCTGCATTTAAATCTATCTAAGAGCACTTTGTATGGCGTTAATTTGGAAGATGACAAGCTAAAAGATTGGGCAAAGGAAGCGGCCTGTGGAGCGGGGTCTTTTCCAATGACATATCTTGGTTTACCGATTGGTTCAAGGAGGAATTCAGAGGGTATGTGGGAACCAGTAATCCATAATTTTAACAAGAGATTAGCAGGATGGAAAGCTAATTCTTTGTCGATGGCTGGAAGACTTGGGTTGGTTAAATCTGTGTTGTCCTCCTTGCAGATTTTTTACCTCTGTATTTTTAAAGTTCCTTTCAAGGTGACTCAGAAGTTGAATTCTTTGATGGATAAATTTCTTTGGGGAGAAGACCAAGCTAAGAAACGAATTCACTGGGTGAATTGGAAATCAGTTTGTCAACCTTATGAAGAGGGAGGGTTGGGAATCCTAGACCTGAGTTTGATGAATAGAGTCTTGCTTGGAAAATGGGTTTGAAAATTCGCAAATGAAAAAAACAGTCAGTGGAAAAAGATGATCTGCTGTAAAAATAACATTAGGAACTTGTCTCTTTCAATAACAAAGGTTGTTTCACCACTAGATTTTTGGGTATGGAGAGGTATTCTGAATAATTATGTGAAAAAGGATCAGATTAGAGACTGTTTGAGAGCTAATTCAAAGTTCCAAGTGAGGAATGGTAGGTCGATAGCTTTCTGGACTGATGTTTGGGTTAATAATTTGACATTAAAAACTTAATTCCCCAGAATTTTTGCTCTGCCGACTAATAAATGGGGGAAAGTATCTGAGTTTGGTGGTTTTGAAAATAATGTATGAGTTTGGAATATTCAACTAAGAAGAAATTTATGTGACTGTGAATTGGACCAGTGGATTGCTTTAATGTCCTTGATTGATAATATAGTGTTGTCCGGTTCAGTGGATGATTTTCTTGCTTGGTCGAGGAAGGGGGATGGATTGTTCTCGGTCAAGTCCTGTAGATTGACGTTATCTTGCAGTTCTGAAGGTAGTTTTGAGTGGAATAAGTGGGTTTGGTCTGGATTGGCTCCTCCTAGAGTTCAAACTTTTCTGTGGTAGATTTGTCATCGTAAATTGGCCGTTAGAGTGGAGTTGAAGAAAAGAGGGATTCCTTTGGATGATGTGCTTTGTCCTTTATGATATATCCATGAAGAAACAATAGAACACCTGTTCTTATCGTGTTATGTTGCAAGGGAGATTTGGAACAAATTTCTAAGGCTTTGGGATATTGCTACTGTTTTGCCTCAAGACCCCATTTCCCTTCTTTGTTCTTTGTCGAATCTAAGGCAGAATTCTCCTATTTGGAGGTTTATCCCGGCTGTTGTTTTTTGGTCAATTTGGAAGGCTAGGAATTTGCTCGTGTTTGAAAACGGGAATTTTGACAGCTCTGCTCTATACTTCATCACTAGATTTAGGCTGGCTAAATGGTTTTTAGCTAAACACCCTAGTGTTCGTATTCAGACAGGTCTACTAGTAAGGGATCCCTCGCGGGCTGATAAGGTTCATAACTCTTCTATCTCTATGAAGGTTATTGGTTGGACTCCTCCTCCAACGGATGTGTTTAAACTCAATGTGGATGGGGCAGTTAGAGGAGATGGGTTGCAAGGTGGAATTGGAGGTATTTTAAGAGATTCAAACAGCTATACCTTAGCCACTTTCTCTACAACAGTTGGGCTTGGTCTTCCTACTTTGGCATAATTGAAAGCTATTAAGGAAGGAATTGATTTTTTCTATTCCTCTGAATGGGCTACGAAGGGAAGACTTATTATAGAGAGTGATTGTAAAAATGCAGTGGAATGGTTTTCTAAGCAGCTCTCTGCCCCTACATTTTTCAGTTCTCTGGTGGAGGAAATTAGGGCTTTAATTACTTCTACGGCCACTGTTCTTAGATGGATTCCTAGGAGTTGTATTATGGAGGCCGACAAGTTAGCTAAGCAGGGTATTGGTTGATTGTAGTAAGCTTATTGTCTTAATGTTTTGTGTTTTTCTTCGGGCTATGTATAGGCTAAAAGTCTGTAATGGTGTTGCTAGTTTGGTAAACAGGTCACCCAATCAGAGACTGTTGCCTTAGCTTAGTTGGTTTAGCCTAAGTTAGTGTTGTTGTATATGGTTGTTTACGGGTGTTTTGTGGTTTTCTGTTTTTGATGGGGGTGTTTCTCTGGATGTATCTTATGTAATTCCAGATATTTAATGAGATCCTAAGGCACTCTTTTCCTCCTTCTTCTGATTAAGGAGCTTTCTTACAAGCTCCATTAATCAAGAAGGAGGTTTTTAACGAGGCCTTCAATTCTTATAAAAAAAATGGTAAAAGCAGTGGTTTTGATTGCATTGGGACTAAGGAATTAGTTTAGGGGTGCAGCTGTTGTGTTGTCAATAGTTACTTGCGTAGAAAAACCACCAGTTCCATTGTCAGCAATGTACTAGAATATTGAAAGTGTGATGATGGTATTTGCAGACTTTTGGACTAGTACTTCAGAGACCGTCTCCTGCACTGGAGAGTACCCTAAGGCCCCCTCCTTTCTCAAGGGGAAAAATGAGTAACAAACATTCAACTCTGTGGTCTGTACCCATCACATAATACTGTAGGAACTTCTTAACAATAAAATCCAATTACAGAAAAGAAATCTTCTTAGTATAATTATCTCTGCCTGTTGATGAAATGGAAACAATTTAGCTCATCGAAGGATCTAACATTCATTAGGGCCTCGGAAGACTTATTCTTGAGTGTGATTGTCTTGTTGTGATTAATTGGATTAAGAATTTGGGGGTTGCCCGAATCAATTGTGTTCATTGTTGAATGAAATCATAGAGATTTATAGGGATAGAGATGTGGTGATCAGACATATCTCCAGAGCGGCTAATTGGGAGGCGGATAAGTAGGCAAAAGAGGGCATTGGATGAGTGGGGTTATGTATTAGACTTATGTCATACATTTGGGGGGTTTTGTATTTTTTTTGTTCATAGTGGATGTAATGTTCTGATGATTCCTAAGTTGTAATGTTCCAGGTTGCAATAAAATATGAGACACTCTTTTCCTCCGTCCAATGCTCGACGAAACTTTCACATTTCGTTGAGTATGAAGGGGGTTTTTAATGAGGTCTCTCATTTCTATCAAAAAAAAATTTATGCATGCAAAAACTTCAATATTCTTCAATTTTTTATGTTATTAAACTTGTCCCTCAGAGAATTTTGCCCTTTTGATCAGGTGATGGACAGCAAGTTAGAGCAGTCCCAGCCTTTAGAAGATGATCCTAACTCAGTTTCAAACAAGGAACATCAAGAAGAAAGGGACTGTGTTGTGCCTAATAATGAGAACGGGCTTGCTCGTCAGACTTTAAAGAATGACACGCTTGAAAGTTTTGAATCATGTAAGCCGGACAGGACATGGTCTAGTCCAAACAGCATGTCCTCTGAGCATTTTGAGTCAGATAAGTCTGGCTCTGGAGAACTTGTTGGGTCCAAGCGTTCAAATGAAGATATGGAGGCTAATGAAAATAATAAGAAGGCCCGGACTGATATCATAGATAGTGACGATGAGGTTGATGGTACAGTGAAGGATGAATTGATTTCATCCAAATTGGAGGATCAGTTTACTATGCCTGAAAAAAGTGGTGCTTCTGTGGGGGTTGAATCTATTACTGAGAAGTTTATTTGTACTGCTTGTCATAAACTGGCTGTTGAAGTGCAGCAACATCGACTTCTTAAAGTAATTATTTGTGGGGAATGCAAATGCTTCCTGGAAGAGAAAATGCGTAGGAAGGTACTAATTTTGCAGGCTAATTGCATTATCGACAATGCTTTAGTAATACTATTAAAGAGTCCCATGAAATTTACCATTGCATAATTCGTTTCATAAGGTTTTTCTGTTAACTATTAGTGCATACGCAAGGTATGACTCTCCCCTGTTGCGACAGGGCCCGGACTGCTCGGAATGTTATTGTGAATGGTGCGGGCAAAGCAAGGACTTATTAAGTTGCAAGTCATGTAAAACATTATTTTGTATGAAGTGTATAAGGAAGAATATTGGTGAAGAATGCTTGCTTGAGGTCCAGGCCTCTGGTTGGCAATGTTGTAGCTGCTTGCCAACCCTTCTGCAAAAGTTAACATCAGAATTAGAGAGAGCCATAGCATTTCAAGATGCAACCGTTTCTAGCTCTGATAGTGATTCAGAGAATTCCGATACTGATGATATCAATACTTCCGTCAGGTACATGCTTTTCTTGTCTGAGTTTTGTATTAATGTTACTGTGCAACATCTTATTGGGGTCAAGAATAATCTTTAGCATGTGTTAGTTGTAGGATGTTAACGATGCATTTAACATAATTTTTCTTTGTTATAAAGTAGAAGTTTGTTTTTGGTTCTCATGGTTATTTTCTCTGGGGTCAAGGCAGGCCTAAGACGTTATAATTAATGCTTCAATGTATTCCTTTTTCTAAACCATGCCCCTCATGCATGCAGCATTGATATGACACATGAATGTTATTGCCTCTTGTTTTGTAAATTACTGTTCAGGTTTTGCTTTTATAGATGTAGTTTGTGCTATTTATGTCCCTTTTCTTTTGGCAATTTGGCGATTTTTGGTAGTCTGTCTAATGTCATTTCTTTTTATGGATACTCTGCATCATTTCATTTACAATCAATTTAACTATGAGGTTAACTCATTCAGTAGGTCTAAACCATTGTTCTGTAGCCATTTCCTCCTATTAGCTATTGATATGAATGTGGTGGGGTTTCATGGTGTATATTATGGTTGATTTCAAATTTTAACAATTTGCATTAACATTACCAAATACAGTAAGGGGTGTTTCTCCTAGTCAATAACCAGTTGTGTGTTTCTGAACCAGTTCTAAGAGAGAGCCAAAAAAGAAAATTCGAAGGATCCTTGATGATGCTGAATTAGGAGAAGAGACAAAGAGGAAAATTGCTATAGAAAAGGTATGAGTTCCTTCTTTTTCAATTGACCTGGCTTCTGGTACTGACTTTTGCATTGTGCTACTGCACCCAATTTTGTAGGAACGTCAAGAGCGCTTAAAGTCAATGCAGTTTTCAGCCAAGTATAACATGATGAATTCTTCAAGCTGCAGTAGGAACTTATTAGATGAAGCTAGTTTAGAGGTGCTTGGTGATGCCAATACTGGTTATATAGTGAATGTTAGGAGGGAGAATGGTGAAGATGCTGTGAGGATTCCTTCAAGCATATCAGCAAAATTGAAAATCCATCAGGTTTCTCTTGCATAATTGTATAAGTTGTCGATATAAACTTGCAGTTGATGTTGTGCCTGGGCTATTCATCATTTGCTTAGAGCATGCTATCATTTAATTTAATTTTCTTGATTATATTATGTACTATTGTACTGAAAACTGTACTCTGCCTCCACTTCTTATAAAAAAAATTTATGTACTATTGTACTGAAAACTGTCATCTGGTTCTGGTTACCTTTTTATTTACTGCTGTAGCTTTCAAGTTTGACTACTGACATAGTAAACTTGGATTTCTTGTGATTTCTTATTGAAATATTTCATTGCTCATGATTGAATCTAGATACATCAAACCATTCTCATTGCAATATTTTCACCCACTGACTGATAATACAAACCTTTATATGAAAATATGGAAGTGGGGTTGGGGAGGGTGCATAAATATGGTTCTTTTTTTTCCCTGCCCCTTTTTCTTCCGACTATTATTATAGAATTTGGCTGAAGATCTTTATTGATGCTACTGCTAGTAAGCGCATTGCTCATTGACTGCTGAATGCTGGTTGATTTATTGCTGCAGATAGCTGGGATCCGATTTATGTGGGAAAACATTATACAGTCGATCACAAAAGTGAAGTCCGGGGATAAAGGTCTTGGTTGCATTCTAGCTCACACAATGGGCCTTGGTAAAACGTTTCAGGTATATTTATCCCCTCTTCTTCTCTTTCTATTCCCCTTTTTCGGCCCCCTTTTTTTTGGTATTACTATGCTGGCATGCTTGTGCTAGTATATGTTTTGGTGCCATTGCTGACCTTGTGCTACTCCCATTGCGAAAGATCTATTTAGTGTTCCTTGTGGTCCAAGTTTTTTGGTGGTTAGCTTGCCTGACATGTCTAGTTTTAATTGCAGGTTATAGCTTTCTTATACACAGCAATGAGAATTGTTGATTTGGGATTAAAAACAGCACTTATTGTCACTCCTGTAAATGTGCTGCACAACTGGCGGCAGGAGTTCATGAAGTGGAGACCTTCAGAATTAAAACCCCTCCGTGTCTTCATGTTAGAGGATGTGCCAAGGTTCAGTTGATGTTTTTTGCGTGTTTAACTAGAACTTTACCCTATTTTGCCATTAGTTACCGTAGCTATAACCTTATTAGAATATTATTATGCACGTAAACCATGGTGTACCCAAATTGCCCCTTCAGGTGTCAGTGTGAAACAAAGATTTCTTTTCTTTGACAAAAGCACATTTCATCAGTATAGTGTGGAAAAATCCTGCCTTGCAGTTGCCCTTGGAAAATTTAAACTTATTAACATTAAATAGGATTTGTTTTCCGGTGCTAGACGTAAAGTTTTATAACGTGTCCTAGAGGAAGCAACTATGTGGAAAATATTAGCTGTATCAGTGTCAGGGTAGAATAAAGTGGAAGTTCTGCTGGATGAATACTAAGATAAAACTCGGGGAAGATAGAATTTATCATTGGAAGCATAAGTGCGGGAGTAATAAATTTGCATAATCTTAGAAATGATCGTGAACTTGTGCAATCTAGCCTTTTAAGTGAAAAAGGAAAGAAAATAACAATGGCTTTCCTAGAAAGATTTTGATTAATTTTTATACTCCCTGTAGAACTTAGGTAAAGAGAATTGAGTTTTTATTCTCTTAATTTTCTGATTATAAATCGTATAGAAAGCAGCCTATTTATAGGCCGAGTACATAGGCTAAGTACATAGAGATTTACTAGGACTAAAACACATCCTTATCTCTACTTTACAGATAAGCCTATATACTTTAAATGAGATAAGACTTAGACTACATCTAAACTACTGACTCCTAAATACAATAATTAACAGTAGATATTTACGCGACTCCAATCTACACTCCCTTATCTGTTCTCTCTTCTATTTTGTGGTAATTTCTACATATTGAAAGGTGAAGAAAGATTAAGGGAAAATATCAACTATCTAATGTGCTTGCTGTAATCATTATTTTTTTCAGGGAGAGACGTGCAGAATTGCTTTCCAAATGGATAAGGAAAGGTGGAATTTTTTTGATAGGCTATACCGCTTTTCGGAACTTGTCTTTTGGAAAACATGTGAAGGATCGGAATGTTGCTAGAGATATTTGTTATGCTTTGCAGGTGATTGTTATTATCTTCAGCAGCATGCCAGTAAATTTTTATTTTTTTTTTGATAGAAAGGCCCCATTAAAATCCTCCTTCAATCCCTCCATGTTATGAGAGTAACATGATGGAACAACGAAGGAGGAAAAGAGAGCCAAGAAAACTTTTATTCACAAGAACCAGATTACAAGCTTGAACAAACTCCTACACTTCCAACGGAAGAACATAAAACTTAACACAAACATCCAACAAAACAGGGAGGAACAATTCCTGTTAAACAACACAACTATAACCAAAATCACCCTATCCCATCTTTAGCAAGTTTATCAGCTTCCCAGTTTGCCGCCCTTGAAGTATGCCTAAAAATAATATCCTTTCCAATCAAAAGTGAAATTATATCCTTCACCAAGGATAGATGCAAAGGAGGGGTTAAACCCGGATTCTGAATCCACTTCAGAGCGTTAGAAGAGTCTGATTCCAAGATAACTCTTTGATTTGCGACAAAATCCAACTCCTCCATAAGACAAATCCCTCTTTTGATAGCCAACAGCTCAGCCAAAATAGGAGGACCACCCCCTACTGCTTCAGAAAACCACTTGCCAATGATTTTTGTTGATCAATCATTTGGTAAAATAGATTTAGATTGCATTTTATCAAAACCATTTGCCAATGAGCATTCTTAGATATAAACTAGGCTTGTTTGCTCTGTGCTGCAATCCTACACTTGTGTGGTTATTGAATCATTTCCTTGTTTCAAATTGAAAAAAAAAATGTTTTGAGGTGATTTAACTATAGTATAGGTCAGTGATTAATGATTTGCTGCATACTTATATGTATACCTTATTTTGCATCATTTATGGACAGATCTTCTCTATCCGTTTTTATGGTTTTTCTTCCTTTGACTCAAGCTTTGTTTCTAATTCCAGGATGGACCTGATATACTAGTTTGTGATGAAGCCCATACTATTAAGAACACCAGGGCTGATACAACTCAGGCCTTGAAACAAGTGAAGTGTCAGAGGAGGATTGCCTTAACTGGATCACCACTTCAAAACAATCTCATGGAGTACTACTGTGTGAGCTATTATTTTTTTAGCTAGAAATCCTTTTTTCCTACGTGTTATGCAGTAAACACAGTTCTTATTGGGTTTCATTGGAGCAGATGGTCGATTTTGTAAGAGAAGGTTTTCTTGGAAGCAGCCACGAGTTTAGGAACCGGCAAGCTGCTAACTCTTGTATCATCCTCATTCGTCCATGTCTCTTTTTCTGGTCATTTTGATGTAATCTTGGTTTTCTGCATATGCAGCTTCCAAAATCCAATAGAAAACGGTCAGCACACAAATTCGACACATGAAGATGTAAAAATTATGAATCAAAGATCTCACATCCTTTATGAACAGTTAAAAGGATTCGTCCAGAGAATGGATATGAGTGTGGTGAAAAACGACTTGCCTCCTAAAACTGTCTTTGTTATTACTGTAAAGCTTTCTCCGCTACAGAGGAAGCTTTACAAGAGATTCCTTGATGTACATGGTTTTGCAAATGATAGACCTTCTAATGAAAAAATTAGGAAGAGTTTTTTTGCTGGGTACCAGGCCTTGGCTCAGGTACAATCTTATACAGCCTGGTCTTTAAATTTATAAAAGCTGCTTTATCTCATGATTCATGCGTGCATGGCCAAACAACTCCTGCTGGTGTTAAGATTATGATGGAAATCAGCATGTCCTGAATTTTGTATTCGTATGTTTGTCTGTTAATGAACCAATCACAAAGAATAAAAAAGGGATATGTAGATTCAACTAATCAATTAAAATATATAGACATACATGGAAAACTTAAAACTTGAGTTCAAACCAATGAGGTTCCACACTATCCTACTAGTCTGACCAATAGTTGTCCGAGGCTTCACATGTACCATCCTTCAGTGTCGATGAATGCAATTAAAAGCCACAGCCCGTACATTTCCTCAGAGGATCTTCAAGCCTAATGCTCTTATTGAATTACTCAGATAAAATTTGTTAATTATTTTTTATGAAATTACGTAAGTTCAATATGTGCGCACTTGAGATCTATAGGGTTACCTAAGTAGATCCATGATATCTTATAGGACTGGAGAAATCTTTCTTAAGCTAAAAGTAGGTGCCCTTCCACTTTAGAAAATAATATGCTCATTTTTTTGGCCATTTCATAGGCAATCTTGTTTTCAAGATGCTTATATCTTTGACCTTTTTAAAATTATTCAGTGCCTTATTTTTGAAATGATACAAAATGTCATCTACTTCATTACTTTTGGGATATTATACGAGGAACGCATGTAAAGAAGCTCATTGATTGGTTTTAGTAAATTGTCAACTAACAAATACTTGCATTTTGAGAGATGAGAATCATGAATAAAGCTAGGTATTTTTCTAAGTTCTAGGTTCCATGATGTTTTTAACATTCTTTTTACTTGCAATTAAATGTTTGAGCTTTCCTATGATCTTTGGGTTGAAGGGTAGGAAGATTCATGCTAATTTTTCTATTGTTTTACCTTTCTACTTTATTTCACCTTAAAAGAAATTATTTTAAATGCATGTTGTTTTGACAAGTATTTTTCCCCCTTAGTAGATATGGAACCATCCTGGGATTCTGCAATTGAACAAAGATGCTGTTGAAAACTTCCTTGCAGATGAGAGCTCAAGTGATGAAAATATAGATTATAATGTGGATGTTGGAGGTATTAACTGTTTCTCTTTTTACTTCTGGTACCAAGCATTATTTACATGTGGACTGTGGACCTGTCAATTTACATTCTAAACATTTTAGTTTAAATTTTTGGTTCCACTAGATAAAGTTGATATTTTCTCCCTTTTCCCTGAAAGCAGTGAACTGATGCTGCTTGTTTAGATGCGAATGCTCGTTTGTTCTCTTGATCTATGAAATTTGGAGGGTATGAGATATGTATGGAACTCCTAGTAATAATAATATATACACACATTATTAGCTTGATAAATCTGTAGTAAATCTCAAATTATTAGCACATATGAAAAATAAGATGTTGGGGGTGGGATGAATCCGAAACATCGTCTGTGCCCTTTTAGGGCTTGAAATTGCTTATCAGTGTTACCTGTAGTGTGCAATCTGGTTCGTTTCTGGGTCTGATCTACTTACTGCTTTCACTATCCAGGCAATTGATTTTACTTATTATGTCGGTAAACGATGTTGACAACAAATTTTGAGTAATTTGCAAGTCGATGAGTATTGAAATTTTGCGGTTTCTTCCATTTCAAGTCATTGGGACACATTTATAGTTTATAGAATCATTGGTAGTTCTCTGTTCAATCATTATGGTTTCATATATATATATATATATATATATATTTAAAAAGGCAGAAAAAAGTAAGTGAGAGAAGCTCCAGCTTCTCTCTAACCTAGGAGATTTCAAATTTCAAAATTCCAGGGGCAGAGGGAGAGAGAGAATATGAGTGATGTTTAACAGCCTTCTCCATCGTCATCCGTCGCTTGCCATCCACCGTCCGTCGCTTGCCGTCCGCCGTCCTCCGTACTCCGACCACCGTCCGCCGCCGCACATCGACCTCCTTTTGACGCCTTTTATTTCTTAAGGATCATCGTCTATCCATAGAGTTTCCTTTTTCCTGGTTTATTTCGATTGATTCCCCTTCAATCGGAGCAAACCTAAACGCCTTTCTTCGCCGATTTTTCCATCAGCAGTCTTCAAAGTTCGTTCCAGCTGTGCACGCCGGAAGCTCGTGACAAAAACCCAAGTATTAAACTGTGAACACCCACTGCCGTTCACCGGAATTTTACCGTCACTGTTCAGGAGCTCTATTCAGAACGCTGTTGCTGGTTCTGGGTTTTCACGCATGATGTCATAAACCTTTTCATCTCTGGTTTTTTTGGTTCAAAATTAAATAGTTTGGAAGCCTTTGCATTCAAAATGACGTTCAAGAATCGCGATGAAGCAAGAGAGAAACGGGCTGAAACCTCAGCTCGTCAGACTAAGAATAGTCGTCAGTCCGAGATAGAGGAAAAGGAGAACGTAAATCCTTTGAAAAAACCAGATGTTAAGACGAAACGGGTGGATTTTATACTGTCGAAGGTGACTGAAGCGGAGCATCAAAATCAGAGAGATGGGCAACAGACAAAGACTGTGCATAAATCAGAGGAGGCGAGGAAGAAGCTGAGTAGTACAGTGGCAGCGGAAGAATATGAGAGGATGGTGTTGGTGACAAACAAGAATAGGAATGATTCGTTGGTTGAAGCAAGGAGTGTGGAAGGGGCCATTGCGCAGATTTCTGAGACGGAAATCCTTCCTCAGGATTCTCACGTTTTTAACTACTGGAGGAAGAAAGATTATCCAAGAATCAACAATGGGTTTAGAACTAGCTGCTTTACGTTATACATTGATAATTTACCAGAGAATATCCATTGGAAGCGGTTTGGATCGTTATTTTGCTCATACGGTCAGGTTATTGACGCCTTCATTCCAACTAAAAGAAATTCAAAGGGGGTACGTTTCGGTTTCATTCGCTTTGCTACAATTGGAGAAGCACGGAGAGCGATCTCAAAGATGAATGGCGCTCGCATTGATGGTAGTAAAATTGGAGTCTCTTTTTCTAAATACAACACAAGACATTCTTTTTGGAGAAAGTCTTCGCCAGTTGTCCACCTAAAGCCCGAGAGAGAAAATGTTACAAGAAATAATCTATATACAGTAAATGGTGTTGTTGACGAAGCTAAACTTCAAGTTTTGGATAACTGCCTAATAGGGTGGTGCAAGAATTATACCAAAATCTGTGATCTTGCTAGCCAAATGCAAGACAAAGGACTCAACGGTTTCTCGTTAATGAGAGCTGCTGGGAATGTAGTTCTCATGATATTCGAGGATTCTGATACGTTGAGAAGGGTTAAGAATGAACAATCAGAGACTCTTGCAGGGTGGTTTTCTAGAGTTGAAGTTTGGTCGGAGAATCTAGTGGTAGAATGCCGTCGAGTATGGGTAGTTTGCGAAGGGATTCCTTTTCACGCGTGGAATTGGGGTACTTTCAAGAACATTGTGGCTAGGTGGGGCAAATTAGTATCAATTGATGAAAGCTCTCAGTTTCCTTCATCTTTTGATCGTGCAAAACTTCAAATCCTTACAGAGACTAAAGTAAGGATTGATGAGTCCTTGAGTTTGAAGGTCGGTTCTAATTCTTTTGAAATCATGGTGCATGAAGTTGAGCCTTCTTTCAAACCAAACTCTTGGATCCCTGAGGAAGTCGATGATTCTCCAGATCTGAATTGTTTTCTCGGGGCAACGTTGGAGAATTCTCTGTCAGGATCGTCAGTGTCATCCCCAGGTTTAAATTGCCCCGTCGAAGATGTTGCAATTGAAGGTCCCCACTTAGAAAAGGTTTCACTCATAAAGAGTGTCATAAGCGATGAGAAACCGAGTAACAAATTGGGGTTGCACACAATGGAGGCTGTGGATCATTCAAAATTAAATATCGTGGAGCATCTAGCTAATAAATCAGTTGATCATTCTGATGGTGTTAGCCTCAGGGCCTCGGAAGATGCTCTTATGATGGGTCTCATTACTTCTCATGGTTCATCTACTGACACATTTCAATTAAAGGAAGATATCCCAGTGGTGCCCCCTATCCCTGCGAAATTAAGAACTAATCGTGTGGCGAAGAAATGCAAGACAAAGAAAAGAGTTCTGAATTTATTGGCAAGGAAACATTGATTGAAGGGAAGGAAGTGTGGTTTTGGTTCATTAAAGATAATTATCGAGCTGATTTTTTTGGTGATTTTGATACATGGTATTTTTGTGGAGTTCCCTTCAAAGGCGGATGTTTTTGGTTTAATGGTTTTAGGTGTTGTTTTTATGTATGTTATGTCATTAAATGTTGGTTTGTTTTCCTATTGACGGAGGTTTATCTTAGGTATAGGGTGATTGCCTTTTGATTTTTGTGGTCGAGAAGGTGAGAGCTTTAGGTGATTATGCTTTTTGTAATGGTGTTTATCCTCGTTTGAGGGTATTTCGTGTTTTCATATGTAATGAGGCGTTTTATTCAATGAAATATGAGGTACTCTTTTCTTCCTTCCTATGTTCGTTAACATACTTCTTAGTATGTGGACGAATACGAAGGGAGTTTTTAATGAGACCTCCAACTTCTATCAAAAAAAAAAAATGGTTTCATATATTTAAGTTGTGTTAAAATGGTCTTTGCTTCTTCTATTTCAGTTAAAACGGGTAGCATGAATGATTCTCTGCACAAGAAAAATGATTATGCATTTATTCAAAAGGTATGTGAAATATATTTATTTATGTGCCTTTTTTGAAACTTCGTTATACAATAGCTTATGTTTTTATTGATTTTTCTTATCATGCTGATGCTTGAATGTTTCTTTTTACTAGGGTTGGTGGAGAGATCTTCTTCACAAAAATATTTATAAGGAATTGGATTACAGTGGCAAAATGGTTTTGCTGTTTGACATCATAACCATGTGTTCAGATGTGGGTGACAAGGCACTGGTTTTTAGTCAGAGCATTCCAACTTTAGATCTGATAGAACTATATCTTTCAAGATTGCCTAGACGTGGAAAAAAAGGGAAGTTCTGGAAAAAGGGGAAAGACTGGTATAGGTGCGTGTATATCACTGGAAATTGTTAGGAAGTCGTTAAAATTATTTAATTATCGCCTTTTAACTCCGTATCTTTCTGTTAATTCACTTAGTTTTGTGAAGTGTGTTTGATTATGTCAGTGTTTTTTTAGCCAATGGTTATTTCTGTGTTAACATTTTTGTATTATGTTGTAAGCTTCTACAGAAATGTACCTGATTTTGCTGGGAAGCTGGTTTATTTTTAATATCTAACATCACCTTGTGATCTAAGTTCCATAAAGATGTGTGAAGCTCTTTTTCGTTTGCCATGTGCTATACAGACTGGATGGAAAAACGGAAAGTTCTGAAAGGCAAAAGTTGGTTGAGAGGTTTAACGAACCAACGAACCGAAGAGTCAAGTGTACTTTGATCTCTACAAGAGCTGGATCTCTTGGGATTAATCTATATGCTGCTAATCGTGTTGTCATTGTCGATGGTTCTTGGAACCCTACATATGATCTTCAAGCTATATTCCGGGCCTGGAGGTGGGTTTAGTTCCATTGTTTCTGTTAATTTTCACTCGCACGTTTTAGCTGCATCATCTGTTTGTTACTATAGGTATGGACAGAAAAAGCCCGTGTTTGCTTATCGATTGATGGCACATGGGACTATGGAAGAAAAAATTTATAAGCGTCAGGTAAGGGAGACTATTTTCCCCCTTATTTGGCATTTGTTTCTTGAATAACCTTTGAACTCGAAAATGATGGTGCAAATAGGTGACAAAAGAAGGTCTAGCTGCAAGGGTGGTAGATAGACAACAAGTACATAGGACTATCTCTAAGGAGGAGATGTTACATCTGTTTGAATTTAGTGAGGAAGAGTTGATGGAACTTGGTGAAGAGAATGGAAACCAGAGTACAACTAATGAAGGTGGAGAGTCACTGAAGCAGAAGATTCCTCTCTCTCATGGAAGCTGTTCCTCTGACAAAGTAATGGAAAGTTTACTTGGCAAGCATCATCCAAGGTACTATCAATCTGTTTTGGTCTATCGGTTTCCGCTTTTATTTACCACGAATAGGTATTCTCCATTCTCAGTTGCAGTTATGTTCTTTTTCCTTTTGAAAAAAATAAATAAATCAGAAACTTATTTATCTGATTCTGCTGTTTGAGTGCTATGTTATACAACATAAAGAAATTTCTTTGCATCGATCATATACGATTGATAGTAATCCCTTTTATAATTGGAGTAACTTCCCTATTTTTGGTATTTTTAGGTGGATTGCCAATTTCCATGAACATGAGACCCTTTTGCAAGAGAACGAAGACGAAAAACTCTCGAAAGAAGAGCAAGATATGGCTTGGGAAGTTTTCCGGAAAACCTTAGAGTGGGAGGAGGTGCAGCGAGTATCCCTCGATGAATCTGTGGCAGCTGCAGAGCGCAGGCCTGTTGTTCCTGAAGCATCGCCTCCGAAACCAGAGCCTGTGATGGATCACCTAACAAAACCCCAGGGCATTTTCAGGAGTAGGATCGTGCAACGGAAATGTACTAATCTTGCCCACCTGCTCACTCTCAGAAGCCAGGGCACTAAATCCGGTTGCAGCACCGTATGCGGGGAGTGTGCCCAGGAGATAAGCTGGGAGAACTTAAACAGGGACAGCAAAATCTCAAGGTAGCAAAAGAGAGAATGACCAAAAATTTTCTCCATAATATTGAACTCTTCCAATGTAATTTGTTGTGATTATAGATGATTAGTTGTATGATGTCAGTTCAATCCCCTTTTGAACACACTACGTTCAATCCCCTTTATTGTTGCCCATTTACAGTCATATGTTGCTTTTATTTAGTTCCTTTGGGGAATGGATGGCAATGAGGTAGAAGGCAGAACTGACTGGAATTTGCTCTCTTTTAATGAAATGAGTAACTTCATACTTTTATATGCAATCAATCTCTGCCATATTATTTATATAAATCTTTTACCATTTTTATTTATGCAAAAGTGGTCCAAGTCTAAAATAGTGCAAAGTTACATGATTTTCTACTGTGCCCCAAATTGCAACTCTTTCATTTTAGTTTTCGGGTCAATCCTTGAGGCTTAAATATTCTTATCAAGATCTTATGGGGTTATTATTAGTCCTCCTAATTAGGGTGATTGTATGGTTAATTTGGTTACCGATCGAAATGAGTTAACTAAATTAAATTGATTGATTTTTTAGCCCTTAGCCAAATTAATTTTTTTTTTTTTGAAATTTATTAATTGAACTGAACAAAGTTTGATTGGTTCTTCTGTCATTGAATTTATTGAATGTAGGTTTTTTTAATTTGATCAGTTTGGATCTAATATATGTATTTTTCATTTGGGTTAAATTTAGATTGTATAAAAAATTTATTGAGTCTAACTTAATTAAAAATATAATTGGGTCTTAATTCTTAACATGTTTGAACTTAAAATATATACTTTATAAATATTGAATATTTTTGTGCTTCAAAGTTTCACAATTTTGTACCATGCTCCAAATTTAACTCTTTCATCTCAAATTTTGGAGGCATAATATTAAAAAAGACTTGTTAAATAAACACTTTGATCTTTATTTATTTTTGGAATATTTTGACTCATAACGTTTTATTTTGTGATAAACAAAACCTCTAGAAGGAACTCTTAATTAACAACACTTAACACTTCAAAATAGGCATTTGTACTTAAAAATGAAATGTTGAGAATCAAAATATTTTAGGGAGAAAAGAACAAAGTGAAAGTGATCATTCAATCAAACATTAAGGATAATTTTACCCTAAAATAAAACGTTAAGGTCAAATATTGATAAAAAAAACAAAGATAAATAAATGGTTGGAGCTAATTTTGGCAGTTATGTCAATTTTGGGTACATCCTTGAGGCTTAAATGGTACTTACCAATATTTTATGGGGTTATCAGACCTCATAAGCAGTTAAGATTATGTATTTCATTTTCAAATCATTGAACAAGCGAAACAGGTGTGGGATTTAGCAGATCAGACACAAGCATAAGCAAAACAGTACAGAAGCTTTAATCATAACTATATTTAAGAATGAATGCCAAACACAAGAATTTTATACAACTCCAATTCTTTATCAACATGCAGCTCAAGCTCCGGTTGCATCAGAAGTTACTTTTCTATTCACCTCAAAAGAATTTGTATACTATAGCACAAGAAATGCATGCTTAGATGCATACCAAATTGTGCCAGTAGCATGAGTGCATCCTTTGTTCTGGAAGAAGGAATCCGGTCACCGGTTCTACCAATCTAACACAGTGAAATAATAAGTCTTTCGCAGGTCTAAGAATACAACACAACGATTAACCAGTATGATTTGTATACTCGAATGCAAGGTATCGAGTTCAGAAGCTAACTTCTTTCATCTCCTAGCCAATTATCCTTCTCCTTTGGTCCGGTTGGCCCCTCCTCGCCGTACAGTGCCGTTGGAAACAGGTCAAAGATGTTCTCCACCGAAAATCGAACCAACAATGGAAGGAGGCTAATGATCTTATCCAGTTCGGATCTTGAATCGTATACTATGGTTGGACCCCATTCTCTCATGTACTGCAACCAACACGGTTCTGTAACTACCCCATCTCCGAGGTACTCTGCTGCAACAATCTGGTACCTAGTGCTCGAATCCACAAAATATTTGCTTCGAGCAGCATCATTCGTAATTCCTATTCCGAGTTTAGCCGCCCCTTGAAGGTAAGTACCCGGATGCGGAAAACTTGCATGCCCGTGTTTCGACGAGTAAACAATTGGCTTATTACCTTCAATGTATTCCAAGTTGAAAGCATCAACCCACTCACCGCCACTATGCTGTGAAAAATACACTTTCCATAGTTCTCCTGTGAAGTTACTTATCCGAAGGGTGAAGTGCTCCCAGTCGCCTACATGTTCCCCGATTTTGTTCATCTGTATACTCATTAACCCGATCTTAAGGTTGGCTGGTCCATTGAAGGGACAAAATACCCACATGACGATATCAGTAAATGTTCCGCCCAATGCTGGTTTTACATGAACATAGAGCTCTGCACTTTCCAAGTTTCCATTTTTAACATTTTGTCTTGCATTATCATCCTTAGGTAAATCTATCCAAAATGCACCATCATTTGTCCCTCCACTAGGCAAGTTAGAGCCCAAATAATCAATAGGTTCACCTTTAAGCTTTCCATCTTTGAACAAAAGTGCCCCGTTTTTAAAAAACCATTCCACCGATGACGGCATACAATCTTCAGTGGGATGAAAGAAAACCGTTGCACCATATTGCTTGATGAGGGCGTGGATTTGGTCCAGATTCGGCATCGCATGTAATGAAGGATCGAGATTCTTCAAGCATGCAATCTCCAACTCTTGATCTTCGGAAACGAAGTACGTGCAGCAGAAGAATGTACCTACGGAAACACCTTTGCAGAACATACCCCTTTTGCAAGGTCTCGTGGTCCAAACCTGAAATGTGTTGGCATCGGTGGCAAGCAAGGTGTCCATAATCTCACAAGTCTTGGTAAGATCTTCTCGGACACATCTAACTTCCTCCACATTAGGTTCATCCGGGGTGTCGGTAACCACAATTCCCATCGCTTTGTATCCCAAAGGTGGGTTCGGCAGCCAGAAGAAACCACAATCATTACCATAATCCGTACTCCAAATCAAGGAGTAATTAACAGGCTTCCTTAATGCAGGAAAGTCCGTATCGGACTCGTAATCACAATAAACTTCGGGACTCAAAGGTTCCCTCTCCCGAGCCGCAAGAACATACCCTCTCAACGGCTGATCATTTGGCTGGCAATAATATCCAAGACAGAAGAATCCATCTGGAATCCCCACAGGTCTATAAAATGTGACACCTTTCCCTTTCCCATCCAATAAGCTGCAGCTCCATACACTCTCGAACTCGGTGGTTTTAACCACTTCTAATTCTCCTAGGTTAATTTTTCCAGTAGCAAATCCTTGACCTGAGAAAAATGGCAGCAAATCATATCAAAGTGAGTTGACATATCTAGCCATGATCAGGGCGTACCCTTAGGAAAGAGATGCGAAATTACAAAATTCTTGCGGGTGCAAAATTAGATCATCAATAGAAAATACAAAGAACATATCTAAACTACATAAATATTTTAAATTTTCAAGAGATATGATCGCCCTAATACCCAGGTCCATCTATGGATGTTTGAAACCACAACTACCATAGAATGGTCACTCTCTTTGAAGTAAAGGGGATTGGATACCCCACACCTAAAAAAGAAACCCTAAACAAATTAAAGAAACCCTACAAATTCAATTAAAACGTAAGTAGAATTAGATGCTAATCACTTTTTATAAAGGAAAAATCTATGCATGTCAAGCATTAAAGTTTCTTGCTTTCCAAGTTTTGAAGAACAAAATTCAGTACAAGTTTAATACTTTCAAGCAACCTATATATGTTTAACAATAAATGTATGGGCTAGCTTCTTGTTCAAGTTGCTTAAGCTATTGTCTATCCACCATCACCATCATCATCATCATCATCAATAAAAAGGAAAAAAAACCACAACGTCCATAAGGGCTTTCTCTTTAAATGTGGGAGTCCCAACTAATAAAGGAAAATGTTGGTAAGCGTATATATTTATGGGAAAAAATTATTTTTTAATTCAATATAAATAGTATTTAGGATCATAATAATTTACTTATCAATATTAATTAAAATTTAATATTTAGGATCATAATTTTTTTGAATAGAAATTAGGATCATATTCATAGTTGAAAGAAGAAAAAAGTGTATGTATATATATGGTAGAAGCTATTTTGTTAGAGAAAAAGAGGTAAATTTCCTTCAAGAAAGAAGAATAAAAGCATGAATGAAAACAAAGATTAAAGAAGACTGAGAGTGTAGAGGCAAATGAGTTTTCCAAAGTTCGAAGTCCAATGCATCAATGATCCATTAATTTACAAAATCCAAAGCAAACAATGGGGGCACCACTACCTCCATAAATGCTTTCTTTTTATGCAGTTAAATTTGTTTTATTTTTATAAACAAAAATTATCATATTGTAGTAATTATTTTCTTTTCCTACTTGGGATTAGATGGAAATATATATTATTATCCAAACAATTAGCTAAAAGTCTTCATAATCACCATACTCCAAAACAAATCATTAAAAAAATTCACAGAAGAAATAAGAAAAGAGAACGAAAAAAAAACCCCATATCTCAAGTAATCGTGAGAATCAATTTTTGAAGGGCAAAAGACACATAATTTCAACCAAATTTTCCAGGAAAGTAGGAAGAAATCAAGCAAGCAACACCAAGAGGGAAAAGAAAGGAATTTGAGTTTAAGGATTGTAAATAGAAAGTAAAGGCAAAGGGCATACATACCTACAGGCCATTCTGGAATAGGAGAAGGCAAAGAAAAAGGCTGAGGCTGAAGCAAAGGCAATTCAAAATCAGCATGTTTATGCCAACAAAGACATTCACAACCAAGCATCTTATTAGCTCCTCAAAAATAAAACTCAAAACCCACAAGTTTTTCTTCAATAGTATCACCTAAGCCCTCTTTTAACCATATGTAGATAAAGAAACCCCAAGAGGAAGAGATGATGGAGAAGAAAAGGAGGGAGAAGTATTGAGCAATTCCCCCCTCTCCCTCTCTCTATCTCTCTCAAAGGAACAAACAAAAAAAGAAAGGTTTTTTCTTGGAAGACAAATGATTGAATAGAATGTCAATTTTTGTTCTTGGGAAAGAGGAGAGAGAGTTTGGGTTTTGAGGGAAAAGTTTGGTTGAAGGTGATGATTTCAAGCCTGGGTTTTTGTTCAATAATTGTACTCTAATATATCACAAATTCATATGATATTACATTACATTATATTATCATGTCTTTCATATGTATGTTTTAATAATCTATCTAATTTGTTTAGTTGGGGCCCTGGGGGAGGGTTAACTTCAAGTATTGATTATGTTTTAGGAAAAATTATCCTTCGGTCACTCACCTATTATTTAGTTATATTTTGATCATTTAATTATTATTTTTTTTAAATCATACTTAATGTTACGTTTTGATTTTATTTTAGTCATCCGTTGTTAAAAATGAACGATGATACTGACATGATATTTTTTAGTTTCTAATATTGAAGTGATATTACCTTATGATGATGTATCATCAATACCATTAATTTTTTTAACATAAAGTGATCGAAAACAAAAGTGAAACATAATGTTGAGTATGATGACCAAAATAGAAAAAAGTAATAGGTGGGTGAGTAGATGAACAATTCATCCTTTTTTTTAATAATTTATAAATAAAAAATATTCCGACTCTTTCAAGGAAAGCGTTCTTCACAGTCTCTCCCCTATTTATTATCTTTTAGATGTTTCATCCATCATGAGGCCCACACTTTCTTTTTTGGATTCTCTCTCTTTCCTTGTTATTCAATCCTTGTGAATGATTTTTTTTCCTTGCGTCTTCTCATTGAATCTTTCTCCTTTTTTCTCCATTCTTATTTCAAACTTTTTATCTATAATTGATCTTTTTTGCAATGATTCCTTAATTTGTAGGGCATACTACTATCAGTTTTAGTTTATTTTAGTTTAAGTTTTCCATAATCATACGTAACATTTAGTTTTTATTTTATTTTATTTCAATTTTGGTTTATTTTAGCACCTAGACTTTTATTTATTTTTCAAAATTTAACGTTAAATTTTGAACATGGGTACTAAAATGAAATAAAAACTAAATTTTAGGAATAATTTTAAAAAATTAAAAGTTTAGGTACTAAAATGAATCAAAACTAATGGTTTAGATACTAAACCCATAATTTACCCAAATTAGCCTTAGACCCTCTTTTCTTATAAATGAAAATAAAAGGTAAAATTCCTATAAAAAAATAAAAGGTAAAATATACAAATGATCATTAAACTTTATTAAGATGATTTTTCGGTAATTAAAATTTTATAAAATGATAATTAAACTTATTGAATTATTATAAATAATCATCGTACATTATAAAATAATGATTAAATGTATAATTTACCCAAAATTTTAAAAGGCATAATACTACAAATTACCCCTAACGTTTAACTAAATAGTCATTTTGGTCTTTGTTATTCTTTTTAAAGTATTTTAGTCCTTCAATATTTTATTTTGGGACAAAAAAGTTCATATATAGATAAAAATCGTTAATCAATAAATGATTAAAGTTATAAAATAGGGGTATTTTATCCTAAAATAAAATATTGGTGCCAAAACACTCCAAAAAAAGATTAAGAGATACAAAGACAATTTAGTCAAATGTTAGGAATTTTCTCTTCTTAAAATAAAATATTAAGGAATTATCATCTTAAAATAAAACATTAAATGTCAAAAATCAAAATCAAAATAATTATTTAATGAAATATTATATTATATATATTTTTAAAATATTTAAGGGGGGCGTGATACAAATTTCCCCAAACTGGATAAGGAAAATGTTATATGCTTGAGCTGAAATTTTGATAATATCAAGGGGGAAGCCAATTAATTAATCAAATTTAAAAAATATTTAATAAAAGATGGTTGGAGATATTTTTCTAATATCATTGTCAAGCCCTTCCAATCAAATTGAGCTCGAATGCAACTTGCTAATACCAACATGTTTCATAAAACTTGCCCCGCTAATTAAATTTAGAATGCTTATGGTTGACATAATTTAAGGTTATTTTTGGAAATAAGATTATTAGAATGTAATATTATTCTGAGAATATTATGTTATTTTATTTGGGTTGCTTACCAGGAATATAAGATTACAATGTTTGATTGGAGGAATATAATATTACTTGGATACATATTTTATCAAATTATGCTTGCGATATATATATTTTTTAACAAGTAAATATATAATATTAAATTATAAATATTTAAACAAAAAATTATTAAAATATTTTAATTATTGCACCATCTAAGTTTAAAGAAAAAAATACATTTAACATATAATTAATATAATTAGTATATTAAACTTATAATTTTAAATAATATTTATAAGTATCATATTTATTTATATAAAATATAATATAATATGAAAAATAATATTGTGATATCTAGAGGATAAATACTTTTTTTAATGTTTAAGATCTATTTTTCAATAACTCAAAATTAAATATTATTTTAAATAATTATATATCTTTTACCATAATAATATTTTCACCTCATAAAATTATAAAAAATTAATATACTAAATATTAAAAATATAAAATAATTTTAACTACATAAGTTTTTCAATATTTTACTAAAATAAACTCTTTGTATATATTATTATTATTATTATTATTAAAATTATAATTTTGAGTAAAACACGAAAAATAAGAATTAAGAAGGACCTCTATGAAAATATTATTATTTTAAGGGTATTTATGTCCAAAGTGGTGGGAATTATTAGTTACCTAAGAACTTGAACGTAATGACATTCCCGTCATTTTAACCAAAAAGTGCTAGTATTGGTAATAGGTTATTACATGATAATGATCTTTTCCTTAAACCAAACATGAGAATACAATTCCAGAAAAGATTATTTCCTTGATAATGATCTTTTCCGCGAACCAAACGTCCCTTAGAGTAAAAATATATAAATTATCAGTTTTAGTCCGTTCTAACAATTAAAAGTTTAAAATCATATCAACGTTTAATTTTTATTTTATTTTAGTATTCATCATTAAAGACTCAATGCATTTAGTACGTAACCTATCAATTTTGATCCGTTTTAGTACTTAAACTTTAAAAAAATTCAAAATTTAACATTAAATTTTGAATTGGGTACTAAAATGAAATAAAAACTAAACTGTATGTATGATTTTGAAAAAAAAAGTTTAAGTACTAAAATAACCAAAACTATATATTAAATGTGTAATTTACCCTTTATTTTATTCAAATAAAATGTTTTCCAAATGAATGAATCTCATGACAATACGTAGCGTCACATAATAAATACCTGCCATGGGCTGAAAAGGAATATTATTAATATATATTAACAATGCTGGCAAAGGAATTTTCAAAGCATCAACAAAACAACACTCGCATGTAACCAAATATATATATATATATATATATATATTTATAATATCGACACGGCAAGTAGTTGATTTTTGGAAAAATAACATCAGAGACCTTTGAACTTTTTTTAAAAAAATTAACGTGGCCCTTATTTTTTTTTATCAATGTGGCCCTCCAACTGAAAAAAAGAATTTAATGTAATACTTTGACCAACGTTTTCCGTCGTTGACCAACGTTTTCATTATTTTGTGCTGACGTAGCACGTCAAACAGCCCAACATCATATTTTTAGCGATTAATTTGACCCTCCAACTCACAAAATAACTTAATGTGACACTATGACTCTGTTTTAATGCTGTTATTAAATGGGAAACTTACACCATTCATCATTCAACTATATTCTTTCTCCCATTTTAATCACTTAACTTTAAAAGTTTTCAATTTTAATCCCTCAAATTTCTCCTATTTTAATCATCACAACTTATTTTATTAATATTTATGTATGGTGTGGCATTCATTATTTGTATTTTATTAATATATGATTAAAATAAAATTAATTAAATTAAAATTTTAAAATTATATTTAAATCATCATAAATATTCCCAAAATTATAATTAAATTAAAATTTCAAAATTATAAACTCTCAGAAAAGACTAACTTTCTCTTCTCCGTTGTTGGTGAGCGGCGGTTGATGCGACGGAGTCTAACCGGGAATTGGGTTCTCCAAAAAATGATGAAGAATAAGATGAACTTTTCATAGAAAAGTTTAAACCCCATTTGATTCAAATTTTTTATGGTAATTAATTTAATCACAATTTTGAAATTTTAATTTAATTAACAATATTTTAATCATATATTAATAAAATAAGAATAATGAATGTCACATCATACACAAATATTAATAAAATAAGTCATGATGATTAAAATAAGAGCAATTTGAGGGAATAAAATTAAATTTTTTAAAGCTTAGTGATTAAAATGGGAGAAAAAAATAGTTGAGTGGTGAATTGTGTAATTTTCCCATTTATAACATCATTGAACAGAGTTAAAGGGTCACATTAAGTTATTTTATGAGTTGGAGGGCTAAAATGATCGCTAAAAATATGATGTTGGGCTGCTTGATGTGTCATGTCAGCATAAAGCAACAGAGATGTTGGTCAACAATGGAAAACGTTGGTTAAAAGGCTATATTGAATTCTTTTTTCAAGTTAAAGGGCTAAATTGATAAAAAAAAACCCGATAGGGACCACTTTGATTTTGTTTGGAAGTTCATGAGCCTCATATGTCTTTTTGCCTTGATTTTTTATTCAAGAGTCAAATTTTGAACATTCTAATTTAAAATAAATTTAAGTTGAATTTTTCTTAAATATGATAAAAAAAAATAACGTGAGTTATAAAAGGATTTGTCAAAAATTTAAATTTGTCGACGTCAATTTAGAATTTGAACTCTCGGTGTAAAAACCCTTCATCTTTTTTTAAATAATTATTGAATTTATAATAATAAAACCAATTATTTCGGTTATTTATTTTTGTTTAATATAAAATTAAGTGTTTAAATTGTATATGAGATTGACTTTAAATGTATAAAGACTTTTTTGACTCAAAATAGGTGGCTCGTTATTATTTTAGTTGTTTATATCGTAAAAGTGGTTAAATTATATACGTGTCACTTTTATAATTTTATTTAAATATTAATGATTATCATAGAGTAAGCATCTAAAAGTGTAACAGAAAAACATTAGGCATGTAGATTGATCGAGGGGGAGCAGGTGGGAACGGTCCTCTTT